AAAACATTAGACGATCAAATCTATTTTTCCAAGGCTCCTTGATTAAGAATTAGTGTTTTTACATAGCCATGGCACTCTAGATTGAATTTTAAAATACGATTTTTTATTAAGCGAGAATGTCAAAAGTTGACATTTGATATGTCATTCTATTCAGAATATCATTTGCTATCGAATAAAGTAAAAAAATAGCAAGGGTGCCATTTAAAAATCAAAAGTTGCTAGGTTGGGTTAGGTCATTTAGGTCATTATTATTTTTTAGGTCAAGTTGTGGTCATTTCCTGTGAAACAGGAAGTGACCAAAAAACAATTGAATACGTCCATCAATCCTAATTTATGTAATATACTAACATACCAAATCTCGTTTTTTTAACTGAAGAAATAAAAAAGTTATATGGGTGAGCCACTTTTGAGACGCACCCGGTATACATTTTTTTGACAGAGAGTTTTTTTCCTCCAAAAATGTTAAATATATTTTTTCTCAAAAACGGTTAATGTTAGATATAGAGTGTTTGATTTGGTTTGGTTGATATCAAAATTCATAAAATTTTACAGAGAATTTAAGTATGTAATATAGTTGGCCGGCCGTAGCTCCAGCGTTAGTGTGTCGATCTGCGGAGCGGAAGGTACTGGGTTCGATCCCCAGCCAGTACGGTCGCTTTATTTATTTAAATAGAAATATTTATTTATCTAAATAGAGCGACCAACGAGCCGCCACCTCAAGGAAGGCAATGGCAAACCATCTTGAGTATATTTGCCTTGTACAGCCTCTCAAATAGTGCCATTCGGATTCGGCAATAAACTGTAGGTCCCGTGTACTTGTGAAACACTGATGACACACATCACAAGTAAATGCGAGAGGTAGCCAATGCTCTATATAGAGTATGGCACTGTAAGAAGAATATAAAATTGGGATACCCATTTAATATAAGAAATTTGCTGTCAACTTCCAGTATTGCCGGTGCCATCTTGAAAATATTTTTAATCGATATATCTCGTTATGAATCAGTGATGTACAAAAAATCTCCGATCTAGATATTGTAGTTGTCTAGAAACTTCCAATGAACGCTCAGCCTGGGACACCCTGCATATAGCAGCGAAGTATAGCCTATAAAACAGAGCACCGAAAATATGATATTTTTTTTTATTTACAACAAAAATGGATCTCAGGAGAAGAACGACTGGAAAATCAAGATATGGTCAAGAGCGAAAGAATACGAGAATTAATGGGAGCTAAACTACTCTATGATTATTATTAGTATTTTAATAAAGCACGCTTTTAGATGTTTCAAAAAACTTTTAATAAGAGTAAAAGTTTTTTGAAACATCTAAAAGCGTGCTTTATTAAAATACTAATATTTCAACGATGTTTCACAAGGAACCAACCACAGCTTCAGTACTCTATGATTGTTGATTTTACAAAATATAGTTGATATGGTACGAATATGTACAAAGGATATCAGACGACAAGGTCGCAAAACAACTGCTGAAATGGATGCCCCAAAGGGGAAGAAAAGGAAGACCCAGAACGAGCTGGAGAGAAGGAATATGAAAGGAAATGGAACAAAGACAGCTTGATGATAACATGTCGCAAGATCGAGAAGAGTGGCGGTTAGGAATCGGAAAACGTTCTAAAACGAATGTTTTGTATATATATTTTTAGAGTATTCGCGTTCCTTTTATCAATAATTATTTACATGTGCACAGCTACTAGAGAAAGCGTTGCTCTATTCTAGTACAAACTGAAACTTTTGAACTAGTCGGACACCAGCTTGGAAAACTTTGGGGATTTATAGGTCTCTAAAGCTTTTAAAAGTTTTAATTGTGCAGATATAGTTTTAATTCGATATAAACCGGTTATTATTTTAAACGGAAGTTGAAAATTCGTTGCGTGCTTTCAGGATTTAATATTTAGAAATTTCAGTTCGTAATAAAATTAAACGAATTAGTAACTTTAATTGTTATAAAACAAACTTAGTCAATAAAGTTATTGAAATGTATATTTCTTAAATATAGAATGGCAATTTGAGAGATGGCTGTCAGAGGTGGACAAAGATTGAACGAATCGTTCATTTGAACGAGTAATAAAAACGAATCGTGAGATTCGATTCACTGCTTAGAATACGGTTCGTTCAATTGAATCGTGGGCAACTCGGCTTGAGAATAAACCAGGAGTAAACGCAACACTTATTCAACTTTTATTGAAAACGGCAGACACTATAAACAGAATCTACTACTACAGATTATTATTGTTGACATATACACATAATGCAGCCAGCCATACATACATACCGAATTGTCTGGTTATCTACTCACAAATGCATAAAATTTGAACGATCGAGTTGTAAAAAAGAGTCGTGAGAATTGAATCGGATCACCATGCGATAATTCGTTTCTACGGATCTTTCGTTTAAAGACTCGTGAGAATTGATTCATTGCTTACAATACGCTTCGTTCAATTGAATCGTGGCCAGCACGGATCTATAAAATCTGAACAATGAGTCGTAAGAATTGAATCGGATCACAATGCGGTCGTTCGTTCAAAGAGTCGTGAAATTTCATTGCTTACAACACGGTTCGTTCAATTGAATCGTGGCCAGCACGGATCTATAAAATCTGAACGATGAGTCGTAAGAATTGAATCGGATCACAATGCGAATAGTTCATTTCTACGGCGCGAGTTGAACCAAAAACAGCTAAACGTAAAAAACAGCTTTTGAATCTAAACAAACATCATGGGCATAAAATGTAAATGATAAGAAAGTTATTGACAAGAAAAAAACTTATTTATATTTTGCTTAGTACGGGAGTATCTGTAATGCATTTAATTTTCACGTTTCAGATGCCATTAATTGGCATCAAAAATTAATAAAATAAATTAATTACTGACAGTCTTCCTATTTTTGCTTATCAGGTCTGCCGTATATTTTTAATTGTTCTACTATAAACTTTTTTTGTCTGCCTCTGCCCTGATGAATTTTTCCACCATTCTAGAGACTTGTTGGTTACTCATAGTTTTGTGGTTATGCTTGTAACTGCTGGCCATCCTTGTGCAGCATCGCAGAAGGCTTCTGCTATCAATGGTATTGATGAGCCCTGTTGACCATTTCATTCCTGAATATCATCATCATCATCATCATCATCATCATTCTCAGCTTATTCAACCATTTCTAATTGTGGTGTAGTTCCCTCACATGTTTAGATACTCTCTTTGTAGTTGGGCCCATTGTTGTCTATTGCTGGCTTTGTGGGCCTAAGTTATCTCTGCTGATTTCCATCATAGTCCCATCTCAGGATTGGTCTTCCTTTAGGTCTTTTAATTCTTCGTGGCTACCATGCTGTAATTTTTGTAGTCCATCTGTTGTCCGTCCTTCTTATCAGGTCCCTATTGCCACTTGAGGGATTTGATTTTGTGGATGACTGATCAACTTGTCGTTCATGAATATATTAATTTGAAATAAAACTCTTCATTGTTATAATTAAAGATATTTAGAGCATATTATTTTTTTCCATGTTAATTTCAAATTTTAGTAAAAAAGTCAACAGCTTTTGCAGATCATAATAAAATAAAACTTAAAATACATTTTAAACCCTTACTCTCATTTTCCAAAAGCAGTAAATTCCCATGTAATTAACGTTAAATATTTAAAGATAACAATATTTCTCCTTTAAAGATCAAACTAGGAAAACTATGAAAGTATCAAGTGTAGCATACCTGATGAGCATATATTATTAATTAACTAAAAGCCTTAAATTCTCGTACCTTGCGATTTAGGTAAGTAGCGAATGTACATTAAATATGTACGTCCCTTTTGTGGGCATCGACAACTAATCTTCAGAAAATCAATATTGTATAACGTTAATGGATATCAGATTACACGACTATGAATATTCTGGCAAAGTTTAGCATTAGTATTTTAGTGTTCGTCTCGGGATTAATAAGAATATGCAATTCTGAATAAAAATAATAATAAATACTTTCGGCAGCTAATATTAAATAACCAAATCAATATATTTTGAGATCTTCACCGAATTATATCTCTTTTGAAAATGCATATTGTTCATAATTGCTTTACTATGTTAGATATAGATCTCTATAACAACAGTAGTGTATTTATTTTAAGGTAATTATGAAATTGACGTTTAAAAAATAAAAATTTTCAGAACCTAAAAAAGCTACTATTACACTATCAAATTTCTTTGTCCAAGATTTTATTTAAATAGAGCGATTTTTAGATTATATGAAGAATGATGGAATTTTATAAAATTTAAAATAATGGAATTTTATAAGATTACGTGGAATTTTATAAAATATTGTATATTAACACTGTCAAATTTTTCATAAAATATCTTTTATAAAAAATAAAAGATCTTTGACAAAGAAATTTTAGAGTGTACCTATTATCCGCCTAAAATATTTTAATTCAATTTATTTTTGAAGAAATACTGCAAAGGAGATAACAAATTCAGAGGTGGGTTATATGTCCGACTTTTTTATGAGAAGTATGTGTAAACGGGATAGTGCAAATTACCTAGATCCTGTACTAGAATCCAACTTTGAAATTTTTTATCAAAGTCAAATAGAAATTAAAATTTAGTACCTTGTTCCGTTGTCAAATTAAGTCACTTTAAGAAAATAAGATTGAAAATTCAATTTTCCAGGCTATAGACAATCGATGAGTTAACACACAATTGAGATCGTCGCCTCGTTGACGCCCTATATGCAAACTTATTTACTGAAATAAAATCAGAACGAATGGATTGTAAGTTATGTTACCATGAAACCGATATCCGCATCTTATTCCTAAAATTATTTATTAGTAAAACATCAGTAAATGTCAGTAAATGATTCAGTCAGTAAATGATTAATAGTAAACTGTGGGCATTTTGCCAGTTTAGCTTTTAATAATTTCGTCTAAAAACGGTGATCATTGTTCTTATTGAAAAATAAATATATTAAATGTATTAAAAAAAGTATTAAAATAAATTTATAGATAACTTACTACTTCACGTGTTACTAAACAGCTTTGTCTCACACACCCTCTAGCTATGATATAATTCTTGTTGTAATCATACCTGAAAGGAAATTAGATATAATTAATAAGGTTATTAATACTATATGTATACAGACATATTGCTATACCGTGAGCCACTTTTGAGACGCACCCGGTATACACTTTCCTACAAAATAAACCCTATAAAATACAGGCTGTACTTAAACTGCCGTTAAACGGTAGCTTACTAAAATGCCGTTAATAGGTATGACGTCGTTGATGTGACGCACTTGACGACTTTATGAAATATAGGAATTTTATAAGGACTAACCAACGCTATCCACCCCACCAAATAATCAACTTAACCAACGCAACTAACCTCGACACTGATAAAAAATATAAAAAACAAATATAAATTAGTAAAAACAAACCAACCCCACCAAATAACCAACTAACCAATGAATTAACACCCTCCAAATAATCACGCTAACCAACCCGACAAATAACTAAACCAATCCAACCAAAAAGAGTGAAACCAATGCAATAATATCACGCTATAAGCAAAAAAAAATATAAAAAAGTCTTGGTCGGCGTGAGATTTGAACCACGGACCATTCGCTCACGAAGCGATGACCTATATCAATCTCGCCTATCAATATCTATTAACGGCATTTTAGTAGGCTACCGTTTAACGGCTGTTTAAGTACATCGTAAAATAAAACATACTTCATTTTTATATGGTATACAGGGTGAGCCAGAAATAAGTGGAAATATTTGCAGGATTGGTAGATCCCTATAAAAGAAACATGTTTCCTCTGCACCTTTTTTTTTCAAATAAGTCCAAAATAACCGAGGTTATATTACTTTGAAAATAAAAAAAAATCCAAAAAAAATATTTTTTGCTTAAATTTTGAGGATCTTCTCTGGGTTTTCTTTCTTGTGAATTTTAACTACAACGTATGTTGCAATATTATCAAGATAAGATTTTTAACTAAAAATTAAAAACAAAAATTTCAAAACTTTCAATTTTTTTTCGTAAAAAAAACAGATAGACGTGTTTCTGATGTCAAAATATACGACCCCTAAAAATATTATCACTTATTTAAGATTCACCCTGTATAATCTTTTTAGTAATACGTCACTTTATAGTATAAAATTTTGATGAATATAATCTATTGTAAAAATGAATAGCCCTATAAACTGACTTGATATATCGTATACCAGTTGAATGAACGTCAGAATTATCCAATTTAGAATTATTACACACTTCAATTCTTAAATTGCATATTTAACGGAAGTTCTTAAGTAATTTAAACTACATTATATCATACGATCAAATAGAAAAGTTAACAAATCTGCAAAATATGAGGTACAACAATGTTGCACCTTATATTTTGTCACAATAAAATTACAAATCTTCTCAAATTGACTAAAATAATAAATTATACAGACTAAAAAAATACATGTGTGTGCTGCGACACCCATATATTTTAAAGTTAAGTAAATTAAAGTAAAATTAAATAAAAAATGATAAATTAAATATTTACTCTATTAACTTTGTAAAGCAGTATCCTTCATCAATATGGCTTTGTGACTTATCAGTTTTCTGATTAGTCAAAACTTTTTCTTGTAATTTGAATATTGTTCATTATTAATAAAATTAATTGCTAATATTAAGTACAATAATTCTGTTAATAAAAAAATAACTATTACTGATGAAGACTAGCTTAAAAATACCTAGCACCTAGGTATTTTTAAGCTCTAAGAGAGGATTCTCTTGGGTATCATTTTCCATTAAATCCGTAATTAGGTTACTTATTTAAAAATATGATAACGGAGTATATTTTCTAGTACTTTCGAACCCCTGCCTCCTCTACTTATCTAACGTATTTCCATTGACAAGCTTTACCTGAATTTATAAAGATCCTAGCTTTCTAGTGGTAGTCATTTACATTAAGGATTAGTTAGTTCTTAGTTAAACGATAACCTTTCATTGTCTAAAAAAAGTAATAATTAAATTGTAACCATTTTGTTTCTATTTTTTACTTGAAAAAGAGGTGAGTATTATGTTTAAATTATGTAATAAAATACGCTAGGTGGTGCATCGGGGTTGGAAACATAAAAATTCCCATGATCTATACAGGGTGCTACAAATTCGAGGTGCGAGCATTGGTATCTCGGAAACCGTAATAGATACGAACATGGTTAAATTGGGGCAAAGTTGCGCCTTGGGCTGTTCACCAAGATGCCATCAAGAAAGTTATAAAAATTTCAAAGATTGCTGAGTTTTTTCGAAAATACGGATTTTTTTGAAAACTAATTTTATTTTTTCCTGTCGTTACTTTTTAGAAAATCAAAAAACTAATCGCACATTCTCATAGCCACTTTATTAGGGCTATCTGATAGTATTTTTAGCTTTTCAAATTAGCTGATAATTTGTGAGATAGAGAGGCCAACTTAATTTTTTTTAAAGACGGACCTGCATTTTTTGTTTCAGATTTTGAAAGAACTTAGTCTCCTGAGTACAATGATATGCCACACTTTATACTTTCTTTTTGTTTTGGGTACCTTAACAGCAATAAAACTATTTAATTATTATTTAAAATAATTTGAAGTGCGACTCTGTTTTTTAAATTATTTAATCTGATTATATTCATCGCAACAATATTGATCAGTGCTAATTAACACTGAATAATAAAACTGAGCCAATTGAAAGATTCAAATAAATTTTATCCAGATCGGCAATTTAAAGATATTATTTCTAACTTTTCTTACTGTGAATTAGAAATTCTCAGTGTACGATCTAATAATTTGCATAATATTAATCGTAGTTATTCTGAATAAATTAACTTCTACAAACTAATTTCTAATGCTTTACATAGTCTACCTGTTCGAAAGGGTTACCACCCTCCCTATTGCACAATTTTATTTTTCATTCAATTTTATTTATAGCTTTCGAATTTGATCTTCTTATACTTGCAATTTGTACTCTTTATTGTAACTGCCAAGATGTGTTGATTTCACTTTTTTGTAAAATTTGGACCTGTCGAATTACTTGACGTCATCAGATGGTCCAGGTATCTCGCTGGCCATTATACTGCTCTACCATTTCCAATCCATCTTCCGGGGAAATAATTTGATTGTTTATATTACATTTTATTTATATTATTTTTTATTATTTTATTGCATTTGATTTTCCGTATTCAACCCACGTCACTGTTAAGTTTGAAAGCTTATCAATATTGTAACCATGAATATATTAAATATTAAAAAAACAGACCCGGACTTGAAATTAGTTTAAATAAATTGTGTCCAAATTTCCACAACAAACAAAAATATTAATTGTGGCATATCGTTGTACTCAGGAGAACGAGTTCTTTCAAAATCTGAAATAAACAATGCAGGTCCGTATTTAAAAAAATTAATTTGCCTCTGTATCTCACAAATTATCAGCTGATTTGAAAATCTAAAAATAATATCAGATAGCTAGATAACTGAAAAATACTATCAGATAATAAAGTGGCTATGAGAATGTGCAATTAGTTTTTTGATTTTCTAAAAAGTATCGACAGGAAAAAATAAAATTGATTTTCAAAAATATCCGTTTTTTCCACACAACTCAGAAATCCTTGAAATTTTTAAAACTTTTTTGATGGCATCTTGATGAACATCCCAAAGCGCAACTTTGCCTCGATTTAACCATGTTCGTATCTATTACGGTTACCGAGTTACCAATGCTCGTACCTCGAATTTGTAGCACCCTGTATATAGGGCGAGTCTTGCAAATATTTTCAGGGCTGGTAGATATCGATAAAAAAATATTTTCTCTTTATCATTTTTCAAGTAAGTCCAAAATTATTTAAGTTTGAAAATTAAAAAAAAATATATTTTTTTTGGAAAAATTTTGAGAGCCACCGGATTTTTTCTGTATTTGCATTGCATTTAATGCCGTAACCATAGAGAAAAGCAGTAACTATGGTAATATCAGAGATAAATTATACAGTTCTAAAAAGTTTTCGAAAAATATACAGGGAAATTTAAAAGAAAATGCACGATTTTCAACATCTTTTTTTTGCGAAAAAACCTCATAGACGCGTTCTTGGGGTCGAAATATCCCACCGAAATATCCTGGGGACGAAATATACCACCCCTGAAAATATTTGTACTTATTTAAGACCCTGTATAGTCGATAATTGGATGAAAAATGGTGCCTGGATGTTTTTTGGCAAGAGAAATTTGATTTTGATGCCAATATGATTCCTACTTTTAAAAGGCGTTACCTACATATTTTTAAGTGGTTTGAAGAGTAATAACTTTTCGTCCGTATCTGTATAAAGCTACCGAGTAAAAAAATATATATTTGCCGTTATTTTTTAGGTAAAATAAGTCGTGGTAAAACGATTGACACTAATTTTAAATTACTTGAACATTATTTGTGCAAAGATTCTTCCATAAAATATGTTGAACAACTCGTACGTATCTGATTTACTATATCTTAATTGAGTCATAATAAATTTCTGGTCAAAATCACTACATTTTTTTTTCATTATTATCACCCGATATGCACCGTCAACATTCTCAATTTTGAAAACAATAATTCACTTCGAATTCCTAATCACTACTTGAAACAACTGAAACTTGGTTATGTTGAAAAAATTTAACTTTAGTAAAAAGTTTTCGATTAAGTAATAAGTAAAATTGTAACATTTAAAAAGTATGAATTAAAAAAAAATAGCAAGAAACAACGTAATTAGTCCAACGCCTCGAAATTTCCAGCGCCAAAAATTAGATTACTAAAAGTTTCTTTTATTATTTTGGTACCAATTTCTAGAAAGATAATTAAAGTTTTAATTCCATTTTAAAACGTTGTTTTTCGCATCGACACGAAAAGTTCTCGTTTAGCAATTACATGACATTTTTCAGCATTTTAGATATAATAAAAATTGATTACTGTAGTGAATATTAGAAGTAAAGGAGCAAGTTATTGTATAGTTTTTCTGACGGACAGCTTTTAATGAAATATACAGCCATCGCAAATAGCTTTCATAAATCTTTATGGCCACCATAAAATTTTAGAAAGAA